GGATCAGGCAAGAAGATTTCTTTAGAACTTGGAGGCAAGTCACCTGTGGTGGTGTTTGACTCTGCTGATTTGGACAGCACAGTGGAAGGCATTGTAGATGCCATTTGGTTTAATCAGGGACAAGTGAGTATCTAAGTAGTACATGTGTACCTAGAATGCAGTCATGGTTTTCACTCAAGGAGACTGAACCCAATCAGTAATTGCCATATTACTGTGTAATAAGCATATGCAACTTCATAACAGTCAGGGGTTTCATTAAGGTTTGCTGCACAAAGGCATGTGGATTTGATACCATGTGACCCTAAACGTATCAATCATGTGCAATAATGAGGCCCAGGGATTAGGCAAGGATTACTAGTTGCTCATTGGCCGTTATTGGTTGGTTTACTGATAGTCAATTAAAATGTTCTCAAACTATCAAATATCAATAATTTCACATGTAAAAATATCGTATTTTTACGTGTGTTCAGATACCACATTTCTCGGTGGTAGAAATCCTTGTAAAACACTGCAGTTTATATAATAATATAATGTATTATGTCTTTTACATTAACAGGTACCTGTATTAATTATGCAGGAAAATTTTGGGTTTTATTTAGGAAGGAACAAATCAGTGGCCGTCCGTAAAGCAGGGTTCAATTTCCCTCACCCCCACTATATGTAGGCTCGGCTACTAGCCGCTGGATGTGAGAGAGTGGCAGAAATTGAACCTATCTCATATGGTGTCGAATTCTTCACCCAGGTGACTGAAACACTGTTGCCAAATTCCCTTAAATGAGTTAATTACCCTGGGAAAGGTGGAAGTGGGGCACATTGATGTCCTTTAGTTGAATGATACAAAAGCATAAAACGGTAAAGAAATCAACTTTCAATTTGGGAAAATCCTGATGACGGCGGGATTACTGTTTACTGAGCATCCGAGATTTTGCCTGCAATAATTAAATATACTTTTAAAAACTCAAATTTTACTGTCACAAAGCTTACACTGTAGCAATATTGTTGTAGGTCCAGACCTCCTCCTCACAAAGTAATGTCTGGGATAAACATGTTGATTTTTTTTTTACATCAGCTAGATAAGGATTTTCTTATCCTCTGCAGCATTCCAACAATGCTGTCAACGCAAGTTATTTCCCTCTAAGGATCAGAACTCTACATAAAAATGTACAAGTAGGTTGTTTCAGTTCAAGTTCATACTTTGCCTTTTGGTGTCTTTTTTAATCCTTATTTTTAGGGGAAAAACTGGCGTCAACAATGCAAGGTGAAAAAGAAGATATTGACAATGCTGTTGCCGCTGCAAGAGAGGCCTTTAAATCGTGGAGTAAGCTTCCTGGTCATGTGCGTGCTCGTCATTTATACAGTATAGCACGCCATGTTCAAAAACATGCACGTCTGATAGCTGTTGTTGAGAGTATGGACAATGGAAAGCCCATCAGGGAGACTAGAGATGCTGATGTGCAGATTGTAGCCAGGCATTTGTATCATCATGCTGGCTGGGCTCAGCTGATGGATACTGAGATGAAAGGTATGTACATCAAATTGTTCTCATTATAATAATATTACTGTACCCAAAAGAGAAATCACAGCTAGTTTAATAGCCTGTTAAGTTATAGGAAACCTGTGACTGGGGTCAATTTAATAATATGTTTACAAGTGTAAAATGAGTGAAATAATTTTCAACAAGAGAAATTGTGCATCTCCAAGCGGCCATGTAATGTTCTATTTATTGTTGTTAATGTAATGAAATTTTACCTGTTGTTTATAATAATAATTTGATAATGTGTATGGTTCAGTTTTTAACATTTTGTTGTCTAATTCCTGCTTAGACTGGAAACCTGTGGGTGTGGTTGGTGCCATTGTTCCATGGAATTTCCCACTGATGTTACTCTGTTGGAAAGTCTGCCCAGCTCTTGCTATGGGTAACACAGTCGTACTTAAACCAGCCACTTACACTAGGTTGTCTGCCCTCCTTTTTGCCGAGATTTGTGCTGAGGCAGGACTACCACCTGGTGTGTTTAATGTTGTCACAGGAAATGGTGCATTTGGCAGTGCTCTTGCTGCACATCCAGATGTTGACAAAGTAGCTTTTACAGGATCTACAGAGGTATTGATTTTGTACTTTTATTCTTCATCTTGTTTTTCTGTCTCTTTTTTAAAACTGCTGTCAAACCCTGTTAATACAGGCACTGAGGGGGCCATGGAAAGTGTCTGTATTAGCAGGTTGTCTGTATTAAGCGGGTTGAATTTAGAGAAAATGTAAGAGCTTTCTTTCCCCAGGGACAAAGCAAAACTGTCCATGATAATGAGGTGTCCTTATTAAGGGGGTTGCTGTATAGTAGGGTTTAAGTGTACTTTATTTAAGTGTTGAATTTAGCTTGAAAGTAGTATTTGTGGACACTGTCTTTACATATACATCTATTGTACTGCCATGTCTCCATGGTCAGTTGAGTCATGCAAGACCTCCATTCTTCAGTTTTTCAAGGCAAGCACGTTTTTAAATTAAGAATTTTTTAAATGATGATTGTGATAAAACAGTCATTTGGAGTCAGCTTTTGTATGTTCTGAAGAATTATGTGGATCTCAGAGGACATGTTGTCCAGCCTTGGCAGATGACACTAACCGAGATCTGCATAACTTACACAGCGTCTGTCTATCAAGTACAGTACTGGTACACAAAAAGTGTCATTCAAATAACATGATGAAAGTCCAATAATTTAGTGCACTGTCAATGATAACTTGGACTCTGTTCTTTAGTAAAAGTACTCTCAATAAAGGATATCATGTTTATCTACCAGTAACCTGCGTTATTGATAAGTACATGCATAATTATTATCTGCATCTGCATCTGTAGGTAGGGAAAGTCCTTCGCCGTTTGACGGCAGGATCAGGCAAGAAGATTTCTTTAGAACTTGGAGGCAAGTCACCTGTGGTGGTGTTTGACTCTGCTGATTTGGACAGCACAGTGGAAGGCATTGTAGATGCCATTTGGTTTAATCAGGGACAAGTGAGTATCTAAGTAGTACATGTGTACCTAGAATGCAGTCATGGTTTTCACTCAAGGAGACTGAACCCAATCAGTAATTGCCATATTACTGTGTAATAAGCATATGCAACTTCATAACAGTCAGGGGTTTCATTAAGGTTTGCTGCACAAAGGCATGTGGATTTGATACCATGTGACCCTAAACGTATCAATCATGTGCAATAATGAGGCCCAGGGATTAGGCAAGGATTACTAGTTGCTCATTGGCCGTTATTGGTTGGTTTACTGATAGTCAATGGTTCCGCTTTTCTGAGGAACATGTACAGTTTATGTGTTTAATCTTGAACTTTGCATTTTAGGTTTGCAGTGCTGGTTCTCGGCTGATTGTTCAGGAGACCTGTGCTAAGCGTTTGATAGAAAAGATCAAAGAGCGCATGACACATCTTCGACTGGGGCACTGCCTTGATAAGGGTATTGACATGGGAGCAATTGTTGACCCTTCCCAGAAGAAATCCATTGCTGCTTTTGTTGAAGAGGCCAAGAAGCAAGGAGCCGAAGTGTACCAAGCCTGTGCATCAATGCCGGCAGAGGGCTCATATTACCCACCTACTTTGATCACAAATGTACAGCCAGTGTCGAAGATTGTGATGGAGGAGGTACAATGAGATTCAAAAATGAATTTATTTATAATATCAATTATTTTGTGGCTAAATCCGTGGGCAGGCGAGTGCAAGAGAAACCTGTGTTCTGATTGGCCACCCGAGTGGGCGAGATAGACCAATCTTCAGTTGCTCGTGCGGGCTTTGCCGCGGTGATCTCGCAAGAAAAAGCTTCTTTTTGGCCAAATTATAAATCCTTTATTGACCAAAATTGACCGATAGTATTTTATTTGCTCTGGTCATGTGGGCAGTCTCTCTTTTTTCTCCTCGGTCTGCCGCCCTCGTTTTTCGCGTCTCGCGGCTTCGCCGCTCGCGATCGCGTGCACTCCCCTTACTAAATCTGAGAAAGAGAGAGACTGCTCGTAGGATATTTGACTCGTTCTTTTTTGTCGTTCTATTGACCTCGACTTCTCGGTCCATAAAAACGCAAAACTCGTGCCCGATGTCCAGCCATCTTGACCTCACGCTTGGTCAATAAGCATAATGTTATATGGCTGGAAATTTCTTTCCCAACCGCGCGCGCTCTCATTGGTTACTTCGAGGTCACATGACATCTAACAATAAAACCGTTTCCTATCAAAATCTCTGAGCTGGCAACATTGCAAAATCTATGACGTCAGAGGGTAACATTGCACCGTTACCCGCGAATGTTGACCGACGACCGCCGTTACAGCGAGGTTTAATGAATTTTCAGCCATATAACAAGTGACTGGTCCCTCGGGAAACAGTTAATTTTGTTTCCCTCGGGACCATTCATTAAGTGTTAAATGTTATATCTCGCGGCCTGCGTGAAGGTTTGTAAAGGACCACCTCCCATAAATGACAAGCCACCCAAAGCAACATTTTCCTCGTCAAAGCGATAAAATAGAAGTCTCTCGTAAACGACCAGCTCGCGACCAATTTTTGGGGTGAGGGTTTCCGAAAAATTTTCCTTTGTTATAATTACCCCTTGTAAGCAGTCACCTGACCGACGCATCAGTCGTCTGATCTCCATGGTTCCCTTATCTCCCCAGAGTATAATTTTGACGAAGTGGAACTACAGAATGCTATTAGGGAGATTTATAGTGACGTTTACGGCAAACGGCAAATGTCTTATTCACGTTAGGAATTTCTCGAAAATAATAGAAAACGTGCATTTAAGGAAGCTCGACTGGATTTTTCTGGGGGGATACCTCCCAAGTTTGAGCATTAACTATGTCGCCTGCCATGAATAAAGATATGGAAAAAAAAGTTACCATAACTGTATTATATAAAGATGAAAATTTCTTATGAGTTGGGTTTTATTGCAGTCGGAGTCGCCATGGCAACGTAACGACGCCATCACGTTTTTTATTTATCTTTGTGTTTCTCTATACTAGGAGTTTTTTTAAGAAATCGCTTAAAGGAGTTTGTACCTGCCTTAATTGCCTCAATTATGGCAAAGTTTGAACAAACTCTGTGAGAGCGTTTTCGAAATATTTTGAAGCGAAGTTTTAAGCATCATAAAAACAGTGAAATAGCAAGCTATCCACACAATTAGCTAATGTTTTTAAGAAAATGATAAGCTCTAAAAACGCGGCTTCATCTCATAGTAGTTTGATTCCATTGAAAACTGTGTACAAAAAGAGAGGGGAATTCCTCTGGGCGATCGCTAGTAAGAAGAATTTTATTAACTTGCATTCAGCTGCTTTTGTGACAGGTTTTGCACGTAATTTGGTCCATGCCTACAAAGCTCGCATTTTTAAAAAAACCGCTCGATAAATTTTTTTATAAATTTGACAATCCCGAGATCAATTGTCAATAAATATACCCTGCAAGTTTCAAGAACATTGAAAACAAGGAAGGCTTTTAAATAGGGCCTCAAATATGACCAATTTTTCCCCCAGATTTTGTGTTTACAAGTGAGCGTCCTCATTATTCACTGGCATTGTTTTCAGGTTTCAAATGCACGTGCACATTTGGCAAAAAGAAATAAATATGCATCAAAAAGAATTCTCGATTACTTTCGGAAGAAATATCCGGAATATGCTAATAATTGGCTTGTATCACAGATGGTCACAGATAGCAGTGAGAGCCGAGAAGGTGAACGTCACGGCTCATCTTGTAGGATGCAACACTTAATTATCTTACTCAGGTTATAATATCACAGAAACTCTTACAAAGAGTTGCTGTGATGTTGTAATTTATCACTAATTTCTTTACCCGGTTATTAGCATATTCCGGAGATTTAACGGAGGGTCCTTTTTGATGCAAATTCTATCTTTTTGCTAAATGTGCACGTGCACATGAAACTTGAAAACAATGCCAGTTAATAATGTGGACGCTCACTGGTAAACACAAAATCTGGGGGAAAAATTGGTTATATTTGAGGTCCTATTTAAAAGCCTTTCCTGTTTTCAATGTTCTTGAAACTTGCAGGGTATATTTATTAACGATTGATCTCGGGATTTTTAAAATTATAAAAAAATTTATCGAGCGGTTTTTTTAAAAATGCGAAATTTGTAGGCATGGACCAAATTACGAGCAAAAACTGTAACAAAAGCAGCTGAATGCAAGTTAATAAAATTCTTCTTACTCGTGATCGGCCAGAGCAATTCCCCTCTTTGTTTTGTAGGCAGTTTTCAAAGGAAACAAACCACTATGAGATGAAGTTGCGTTTCCAAAGCTTATCATTTTCTTAAAAAATCAGCTAATTGAGTGGATAGCATGCTATTTCACTGTTTATATGATGCTTAAAACTTCGTTTCAAAATATTTCGAAAACGCTCTCATAGGATTTGTTCAAACTTTGCCATAATTGAGGCAATTATGGCAGGTACAATCTCCTTTAAGCGATTTCTTAAAAAAAAACTCCTGGTACAGAGAAACACAAAGATAAATAAAAAACGTGATGGCGTCGTTACGTTGCCATGGCGACTCCGATTGCAATAAAACCCAAATCATAAGAAATTCTCATCTTTATGTAATAAATTTGTGGAAACCTTTTTTCCATATCTTTACTCATGGCGACGTAATTAATGCTCAAACTTAGGAGGTATCCCCCCCAAAAAATCCAGTCGAGCCACCTTAAAACAGTCCAAAACAACTTCTTTAGACAAAACTAACGTGAAGCTACTAATTTGGGGGTAGAAGTAATGAGAAGTATAACACAAGTTAAGGGAAAACGTTTTTATGTCATACAAATTCACGCTTGCCGTAAAGGTGACTCTAAACCTCTCTATTCGCCCCTTTGAGGTTGTGCAGGAGACCGGGTCGAGATGGTTGTCAAGTGCATTGTGGGACGGTTTTGTGGGACGCATTTTCAACATGGCGGCAAATTTGTGCAACAGTCCCACAATGCACTCTGACAACCATCTCGACCCGGTCTTCCGCGCAATCTCAAAGTGGCGAATTATCTTGATCTCTTCTCGGAAGACACCCCCTGTCGTTTGGTTCGATTCCGTTAACACTTATGAATGGAGTACAGTATCTCAAAATTTTATTGCTGATTGATGTATGAATCTGATTCTTTATATTTTACAAGGTGTTTGGCCCAGTACTGACCGTTCTCACGTTTAGAACAGCAAAAGAAGGAATAGCTTTGGCCAACAACACCAATTACGGGCTTGCAGGAAGTGTATGGACTGAAAACCTGTCTCTTGCATTAGAAGTAGCGTTGAGTATCAAGGCTGGATCATTGTGGGTCAATGGACACAATATGTTTGATGCTGCAGCAGGTTTTGGAGGTTATCGTGAGAGTGGATTTGGTCGAGACGGTGGCAAAGAGGTGAGGAGTAAATCACAGTCATGCTCACAGGCTCACTCATCTCGCAAAATAACGCGTGAAACAGCTCGGGACGGCGGAAAAACATGACCGATGACTAAGTAAACTCTTCGCTCGAACTTTGCTAAAACATTTGGGTTCAAATCTCTATTTTGGAATAAATTGTTGCCGCCTACTTCGGGACTGGCTGAACCCGAAATACATTAAGTATTGTTGCTAATGGAAATTAAAATGTTTCTCAAATGTACATATTTTGCTTTCTGTAAGCTTTTCAGACACCAATTTTGCTTCTGGCGGAGCTTTACCTATACAGCTGTATGTGAAGTTTAGCTTACATCAGTGTGCAGCAATAAGCAAACAATAGCAACTTGATTCGATGAAAAGTGACGCGATATTGTCTTTGCAGGGAATTATTTTCTCCCCCTTTCATTTTTTCCAAGGAATTATTTTCTGGTTTCCAGAAAATGAAAAAATTAACTTTCTTCCCCTTAAAGAAGGGGGGCTTATTTGAGAGGGGGTGGGCTTGATTTACGGTAATAGAGAACTTTAGATTCTAAGACGAGTACGACAACGAGTACGAGATTTGATTTAAAGCTTTTTCCCGTATTCTCAAAATATAGACTCCCCAGAAAGCTTCATTTTACCATTTTTCACTACAAACATAAGCACTGTCACCTGTAGTGAAGGAGGTTGCACCCTCTCGCGATCGCAAAATGATAAACTTCTAACAGTTGATTACTTGTTTTCACCACTTCGACATTCTTGCAAAAACTCGTAGTAGAGTGACGACGGCTACCACTTTTTCCCGCCGAAATGACGCTGGTTCACGCGCGAGCACTACTTAGTATTGGGAAAATCTCGCACTCGTTGTCGTACTCGTCTCAGTATCTAAAGGTCTCTAATGTGTACATCAACCTAACTAAAAGAAACCTCATATGATACATTTGCTTTTAAATTTCTAATATGACACAACCATTTTCAATAGTTCAGGTGTTTTTCTTTTGTTGCCTTTGTTTCCAGCAAAGAATCTTGATTCCTCAGAATATTTACAACCCAAAAAGGTGGAAATAATATTATCGTCCAAAATAGCATCACAAGAGCAATAATGTTTTTATTCAGACTTGATCGTTTTCAGTCCAATTTTCCAACAAAATTGAGTTTTAGGTTGTGTTCACACTACGCCGGATAGCTTTTGCGGATCAATTTAGGTTTTTGGGAAACTGACCACCTATCCCTCCGCTAAGCCAACATTTTGCCCTAAACGAGACGTGAGTGTTAATGTTGACTTAGGGGAGGGGTAGGTGGGCAGTTTCCCAGAAACCTAAATAGATACGCTTCTGCGCCGCCACGTCAGTAAATCATACCGGATAGCGCTTCTGTTCAGACTCAAAAATGGTTGTGGCGGCGCCATTTCTGTGACCGAGCGAAGCTGCGCTGCTCTGATCTGTAAAGCGGAGAGTCGCATATCGGATAGGTGTTCATACTATACCGTGGGCTAGCTTTTCGTGTCGGCACGCAAAGCTAGCCCACGGTATCATAGTGTAAATATAGCTTTAGAATTTGTTCTTGACAATGGATGTTAACCATTGTTTTAACAGAAGGAATTCTCCGTGAATCCTTTAAGCTAGTATTTGTTCCCAGCTTAATTACGTGTACTAAAATGTTAAATTTTGGTGACAGGGCTTGTATGAATATGTCTGCCCATCATGGCAAACCAGAGCACGGCCATCTGTGGAGGACTATGATGTGAAGTCATTTGGATCGACTGTTCCTGCGATAGTGATGAATCCAAATTCCAATCCTGTGAAACTCCCGGAAATTGCATCAGGAAACTTAGGCGAAATTAAACCTCCAAGGTAAGAAAGAGGTCTTCTTATGTTATTGTTCCCTGTATACAGTGACATGGAATTTATACTTCTTAGTTAATGAAGCTAGTATAAGGTCTTTTATCAAGGGAAGTCTTGCAGTCAGAGTTCATGAATACGGACACTCCTGCAAGTATGCCAAGTGTGGGAATCACCGAGAGGTGTGAAGTCTGTATGTTTGTTTGTTGACGTAGAAAACTGCCCGTAAAACAGAGGCCTCATTAAGGAAAGATTCAATTGTAATTGGTATGTACTAAGGCTTTATTCGTTTACGGTGGTTACAAACCTGAGGATTTTCGATCGTACTCATGATGCGAGCCCAAAAACCTTGAACGCTTTGATTTTTAATGGGTCAATTGTCTATTCACCAATCAGACTTGACTTGTTACACAGTGAAGTTAGCTTTCTTCAGGCGGTAGCAGTGACAACACTTGTAGTTTTTTCTTTCTTTTTTTTTTTTAGTATTGATCATACTTACAAAGTTTACATTGGAGGGGCTCAGAAGCGACCGGACGGAAACTACTCTCGACCCGTACAAAACCCCTCAGGGGAGGTGATAGGACAAGTGGCTGACGGAAACAGAAAGGACATCAGGGATGCCGTGGAGGCCGCACATAAAGCAGCACCAGGGTACGTGTATTGTTAGGGAGTAGGATGTTTAAGGTTTTTTTTTTTTACACTATACCAGGGCGATAGCTTTTCGTCAGTGCCGACACGAAAAGCTATAGGTAACTGGCCAGAAATTCTGGAGTTTAAAATTATAAGATGATTTTTTTATCACCCCTTTCCTTAGTTGGGGCAAGAGAGCCGCCCACAACAGAGCTCAAATTGTTTACTACATGGCGGAAAATTTAGAGCTGCGACGCAGTGAGTTTAGTCAGAGACTGTGCGATATGACAGGCTGCTCGCAGGAGGAGGCCAGCAAAGAAGTCGATATCGCAATACAGCGGCTATTTTACTGGGGTGCTTATGCAGATAAATATGGAGGTACTGTACAGGTAGGTGTGAGAATAAACCAGCTAAAGTTAACAAGAATACCGTGTTGGACGAAATTTTTGCGGAGTTTATTTTTGCGGATTGGCGATTTGTTGTGTCTTGCGTGGACCAATTTTTGCGATTAGGACAGATTGGTTTTTCTTGCTGGGAATTAATTTTTGCAATTTTCAGAAATTACCCAGTATCCAGCATTGATAATATTTCGTTTTCGTTAAATACGTGCAATAGAATACATACTCTCAAACAATACTATGGTATGCGTACCCTATGTAAAACCAGCAATTCATTGCATACCGTTTTGTTTCTGAATGAAAGAGGCACGATTTCTTCCTAATGTCTTGTGTCGCGAATTTAAGGTAGAAAATGTTAACTCTGGAGTAAATTTTTGCGGGAAAAATGTTTGCGGTAATTTTTATTCGCGGGAACTTATTTTTGCAGATCGCTTATAAATCGCAAAAATCGCAAAACTTACGTGCCACACGGTGGGTACAAAATGTAGGCATTAATTACAGTAGATGGAAAATGATAGTCAGGTTGTTTATAGTCTTGAATGGGACTTATGGACAGTGACTGATGACAAACTGTTCGATGGTCATCTTGCGAGTTAAATGTTCCTAAAAATGACTACCGCGCGGGTTGTCATTGGTCACTCTACACTAGTCCTTTTCAGGCCTACACCCACCCGGACAATCATATCCCACTGACATTTATCATGACTCCTGGGTTCAAACCACTCACTAAAACAATGTATACAGTTAATTTGCATTTGTATTAACTTGAACAGTCGCTCAACTTGCCGACTTCCTGGATTAACTCGCTAGCATCTTTTCCCTGGGGTTTTTTGTAGGGGACACTCCCTTTCCGAAGTAGTTCAGGCAGCTGGTATCATTTATCAGTAATAGATAGTCGGAATTAGGGATGGAAAACCCCCTCCAGCCAAATTCCTGAAGAATCCCCGCTGGGCGTCTTTTATTCTTCTTTGGTACGTGGGGGTACGCTGAGAATAAAACCCACTAAAATACTTCAACCGTTTGCGAAGGCGTTCTCAACTTTCCATAATGTTAACTAGACAGTAGAAGGGCGAGTTTACCAAAGTGGTATGCGGGTTGGTACGTTGCAAAAACAAGTTGATCATGGTCACGTGTTTGTGACAGGAAACTGTCTACTTGCCATTTGGACTTTAATGTTCTCCAAGCATTTTTACAGGAGCCACTTTAAGGCCATGTCTTAAGTATCGATTCTCCGCGAGATTACGGTCAACTCTCTAAGAAGGACACCTTTGGGACCGGTTCTAAGTGTCCGTTTTCGAGAGATGTCTGTCTTATTGAGAATAGGGAGTTTTAGCATCGACGACGGCGACGGCAGAGAAAACGTCACTTTTAAAATGAATTGGCGTTTTTCCAAACTTTGTCGCGTTTATTCTAGTTCGCTGAAAATGTCTATTGTAGGCAAATTTCGTCGTCGCTTGTTTACATCCTCCATAAAACGTGAAATTGGGCATTTTCACGTCGTAGTCGTGCAGTAACGGCAAAGAAATGGACGAAAAAAGCGTGATGCACGTGCAAACTTATTGTGTTGCTTAATAAACCTATTTCTGTTTTCCTGTTCTCGTTACCGTCGCTGTCGTCGTTGCTAAAACTCCCTAATAAAGATAGGCAGGGACCAACTCTAGTGTCCGTTTTACAGAGGTGTCCGGTGTATTGTTTATAAGTCTGTAGTTAAGGTACATTTTAATTTAAGGGAACCTCGTGAATATGGCACCATGACCGAGTCTTATGTGCAAAATCTCAAAGCTGTTGCCCCTCGTTTAACCTTCACATTAAAAGATTCGTTTCCGACCGCGGCAGGATTAGCTCAGTCGGTAGAGCTCTTGACTGCAGAGCGGGGCGGACCAACACTCAGGGTCTTAAAATAACTGAGGAAAATCAAGGTACTCCCTTTGCACTGCAAGCGGCTGGACGTACCTTTGCGTGACACGGACGACCACGTAAAATGGCGGTCCCGTCTCCAGTAGGAGACGAAAAAAATAGTGTCCTCAATTAATACTTTCCTGCTAAATACATTGACACTCAAATAAAGCGCGTTTTTTTTAAACTCGCAGTAATATGTTTTGTTGGCTAACTATGTACCTTTTCTTCTTGGCTTTTATATTTTCCTCTCTCTCCCCTCCCTAAGGAAACGCCGTTCTATGGTGCTACAGTTAAGATCCATGAGCCTGTAGGGGTGATAGGCATTGCTTGTCCTGTGTGCACAGGGAATGATCGGAAACACAGTGATGACGCGCCTGCAGTCATCCGAGGTAACACTGTTGTTATCGTACCAAGTCAGAAACATCCCATGATTGCTGTGGATATGTACCAGGTACCAATCATGTCCATTTTATTTTCTGAGTTATTCTGTGCGTTATTACTGTTTTTTGATTGTGGACCACTGAGTTCAAAATTTTTCTGTGCTTTCAGGTGATCATAATCGTTTTCTTCTTTAATTATGAGACCATAAATAATATGTTTATTCGGCAACAAGAAATTTATTTTTTCGCGCAATTATAGATTGAACATATTCTATAATCGATTATCGATTATAATTAATTTTTTTCGGCACACAATTGTTTTGTATGAATACTCGAATAAGGGCCCATCCTATGACCTAAAGTTTGAAACATGCCTCTTCTTACTCGGCCTCTTTTCTTTTGATAACCGACAAAGGCGGAGCACTATGTTTTAAAATCATGTTTAATCTTAAGCGGAGCATTGTTTTAGATCTTTTTACGATCATGTGGCTTTCTCGTTCACTGCATCATTGGGGAGCTTAAGCAGCAACGACGACAGTAAAAACATCATTGAAAAATGAATTTGCGTCCTTTCAAACTTTATCGCGTCTATTTGGAACCGCTCAATTTGTCAAATGTAGGTGACTTTTCCTGAAGTTGAATTCTTAAGGACTTTATCCATCTTGAAATAGAGAAAGGAAAATTTGTCGTCGTATGTCCACGTCCTCCATAAAACGTTGCATTAGGAGGTTTCACGTCGTAGTCGTGCAGTGGACGTCAAAGAAACGTACTAAGAAGGGTGATGTACGTGCAGAGCTGTTGTTTTGCTCATAAAACCAAGTGTTTTTTGACGCTGTCGTTGTCGTCGTCGTAGTTGCTTAAGCTCCCTATTGCAGTACAAGTAACACGCGGTAAAAAGAAAAAGTATTTTCTAAAATAATTAGCGTGGTCTAGCTCATTCTGAAGCATCCTGTGGATGGTTCAGCTCCAACACTGAAAACATGACCCGGCAGATATTCAAAATCTGATCCTCAAAATTTAACAAAGAATGTTTGCCGTGGATTTATTAAATTGGCTGGCAGTTTCAGTTGTTACTTCTAATCCCGATGATAAGTTGCCGAAAAGGAGGGTCGGAATTACTAACACGTCTTCCAATTTTTAAACTCAAATTTGAACGCCGGAAATATTACCCTATGCCTTATAGGTGATGTTACACGGAACGATCCGCAACGATGATTTTTAGCGCAACACAGCGTTGCAATGTTGGAGCAATGTTGTAACCATTCGAAACAATGTCGCATCAATGTTGCCACGCTGCGTTGCGCTAAAAATCGTCGTTGCGAATCGTCAAGTGTAACATCACCTTATGTCGAACCGCGTTCAAACGACTGAGTTAGCGGTCCATTTTGTCGCGCTTTTTGCGATAACTGCAGAATTTTAGGTTACCGTTTGTGTTAAAAATTTTTTACAGTGTCTCCGGCAAGGTTCGTTCTTTCGTTCAATGCGGAACATTGCATATTTTTTCTCGCTTCCTTTCTGTAGATTTTTGACACATCGGACGTGCCCGGTGGTGTTGTAAACATCGTCACAGGGGACCGCGATCACCTCACTAAATACCTGTCCGAACATCAGGACGTTCAAGCCATGTGGTACTTTGGCTCAGCGGAGGGAAGCAAATTTGTGGAGTGGTCATCAGCGGTCAACGTGAAACGTACCTTTGTAAACTACGGTCAGAGCCGAGACTGGCTTGACAACTCTCAGGGGCAGGGTGAGGAGTTTTTGTTCCACTCTACCGAATGCAAGAACGTATGGCTTCCGATGGGAGACATCTTTGCCAATTAGTCAGCTTGTAAGGTGACTGTCCACTTGGATACGCATGTCAGCTTATTGCTGTAGTTACAACTGATTGAATAAGGGTGTGATTGAAAACTGCTGATGATACGCATGATAACTCGCCCAAGGCTTTTCTCGAACAAAAAGAAACAAGCAAGGGCTGGGGAGAGGGGGAAAGTGGAAGTTTGAAGAGGAAAGAGGACATAAATAACTTCCGGAAATAGGCCACTTCCGAGCTCCAAAAACCTTCACTTTCAAAATGAGGCTAAGTGCACAACCTTTCTTGTGAAAATGAGTTTTATTTGCTTGAGAATGAAAATCACTTCCATATCATAGGTTGAGCACTTAACCTCGTTTTGATACAGAGGCCCGGGGGAACTCGGAAATGACCTATTGCTGGTTTGTAGGTGACGTCACGGCGGCCATGTTGATGATCAAGAACCAAAGCATCTCTCTCCTTTGACTAAACTCCATTTTCTGGTAAATTCTTCATGAAATAATTCTGTTTTATTGACCACCAACATGGCCGCCTTGTCACGTGGTTACAAACCAAGAATGTCTTGTCCTAATTCTGGACGGCTTATGGTTTCGATCATGGTATTTACAGCTCTGAAGTGATTTTAAAACATAAGACGGGTTTCAGTATAAAGAAAAAATGGGCAATGTATCTGATACTGGGGGATGATTTACAATACAAGAAAAGCACATTCCAAAAATTGCATTGTGCACGGTTTCTTTACCCTTGCTTCTTTGCATGAGAAATTTCATTCGTTCTCAGCGCTAAGTCGTCAATGGTTTTCTTCCGATTTCGGCTTCGCGGCCTCGGTAAATATCCAATACTATCCACCGACACTGAGGCGAATAATTGTTTTAGTATATACTAAAACAGTGAGATAATTGAGCACAAAATGATGATTTTTAACTCATTTAATGTTGCCAACGATTACAATTTTGGCGCGCGATGACCGTCGTCGCTTTTTCTTAGCGACAAATAAAACTTTTGAAGGCGTTTGTTTAGCTCTTGCGGGGAAGTTTCTTCAAAAGGAGTTGTGAATTCTGTTTGTTTTTAAAATAATTCTGTAAAAAAGATTATTAAATTTAATTTTAAGCTTATTTATGAACAAGTCAACTAAATAAAGTAACGCAAGTTAGACTTAAACTTAATTTGCATTTGTAAACAAAAAACTTTTTCACCGGTTTTTTCAATAACTATTCAAGTCAAAAAGACAAAGCTTTACCTGTTAAAACTTCCAAACCGAACTTCGTCACCTTCTTCATGTATTTCGCAAATAGCTTGCTTGATTAGTTGGGAAATTTCTTAGTTTGTTACGGCAGCAAACCGGGAAAGCACTTTGCTCGCAACCTACGCGAGTTTGGCGTCGCTCGTTCGGAGGAACTGGAGGTGAATCAGTGAATAGTGCAGGATATTCACTGATTGAGTAGCCAATCAGAGCGCGCGAAAAACACTATCCACTGTTTTAGTATATACTAAATTAAGGTAAATCCACATTTATAAACTTCTACTCCGCCTGGACGGAAAGTGTGCGAGTGTGCGAAACACCGAAAAGACTGAGCACGCTATTGGGAAGAGAAACTGACCTTATATAAGAAACCCACAATGCGAAGACAGGTATGGGATAGCCACGGGCTTTACGCGGCGTGCTAGTGTTACCTAATAGAATTAAAGGCTATTTCATTGTGGAGTCCCTAGAGAGAATAACTTTATCTGTTATTGAACGGTGTAGGGCATGTTAATACGTAGATAAGTTGAGCTATTACCCCATCGTGTTTTTCGACAACTCAGTGCTATTTAAAAAAGTTATTGAGTGAGATTATAATCAGGGGCACCCAACGAGAAGATAGTTCAAAACCACTTAAAAATAGCATTGTTGAACGTATTTTAGTGTTTTAACGGTAAGCTACGGTAGATAGAGGCATATTTTTATCCTTTGAAAATTTTTAATCTGTTCGGATTTCCTAGCTAAAGTCTTCTGATCCGAAAATTATAAAGATCAAAACTTACCTTTTCGAAAATTTCAGCCAGAAAAAGGCTCCCGAAAATTCTAGGTGACCTTTTTAGGGTAAAAATCCGTTAAAAATGGGCAATTATGCCATTTTTGGGTGGCTCGACAATCCTAGGAGAGGCAGGCAAGCAAGAAATTCAACAACAAATGTTCCAAAAATTCTAGATCTCAAATCGTCTTTCGAACAGATATTTTCCAAAAATTGTCGTTGGGTGCCCCTGTTATAATGCGCTGAGTCAATGTGAAATCTAAGTTACCCACAAAATCATAACGGAGCAACACCCTGCCTTCCATCGCCCAAAGTTGGGAACGCGCACTTTAAAACGTCATTCGTGGTGCCGGGAGCGGCCGAGGGCCTGCACTATGGACCTTCGAGTGTTATTGGGGCTAAGGGCTGTCGTTGTTCCTGTAATTGCTATAAAAGAAAGGAATAGTCCAATATGACTCTCTTATTTTTTATTTATTTTTGTCCCTTACACAATAGTTCAGTGTAGGCATTTTGTAGCTGATCATTTACCTGGTACAAAACCATCACGCCAGAACGTAAGGCGTACATCAATTAAAATGCTAATTTCCATTGTTTGTCTTGTCTCAGTGTGACCCTTGCTCTCTAGCGTGGGCGGTTTTGTACCACGTGAATAGGGAGCTTAAGCAACAACGACGGCTTAAAAAGTGGAGTCGCGCTGCTTCAAACTTTATCGCGCTTATTCTCTCTCATTCAACTCGTCAAAACTTGGCAATTTTTTCTGGAGTTGAATTCTAAAAGACTGTATCGAAGTTCAGAAAAAGAAGAAGAAAGTCGTTACCTTGCCGGTTCACGTCCTCCATGACGTGAAAATGCCTAATTTCACGTTTTGTAATCGGGCAGTGACGGGGGAATGTACAAAAAAGCGTGATGCACGCGCAGAGTTGTTGTTTTTTCAATCTAAACTTATTGCTTTTTTCCGTTCTCGTTGACGTCGCAGTCGTCGTTGCTTAAGCTCCTTATGACAAGCTGCGAAGACCCAATTGCAGTTTTAGTTTCCTTTTACATTATATTGTTTCTTCCATCGAAGTTGCCGAGTTTTGTTTACTTTTGGCTTCGATCATCAATGAAGTCAGCTTGTCAACTAAGGGATCCTCTTGCAAACAAG